TGGTCATTTTTATGAGGGAGTATTGAGTGTCAAGAAAGCAACTTTAGGAAGAAAGAACATATGCTATAATGATGGCAGATTGAAGCCAGAGTATAATGATACACACCAAAGTCACTAAGGATCTCTAAATATCATTGTTTTTCTATAACTTTCTTGCTTTGCTCCAAAGTTTATTCCTCACAGCTAAGCTTTGTTGTCACTAATTAACAGATTTGTTTATTGATTGGTTAATTAAATAACTTTTTATTACACTAGTTTTCTCTACACAAACGGGAGATAAATTTATTACTAAAAATATATTCGATACGTATTGATTGGGTAGTCTAAACAAACAAATTTTATCTCTATACTATTATGAACCAAAAACATACATATTATTATGGGAAATAATACGGTCTAACCAAACCAAACAAGTGCGAACTTTAAGGTTAAGAATACTACATTCTTGGTTATTGAAAGAAACGCAGACCGACCCTATAAGATCAAAGTCGTACTAATCAGTAAACAACATACAGATATTGCATATATATCCAGCCATATAAACTGAATCTGAGTATTTGTTACGATTCAATGAATACAAAACTGATAAATGAGCCAAAGGAGTGTGAAGTAATTAAGCAGCAAGTCCATTGCCATATCGAGCATGGTTGGCACGTGAGAGGACGCCCGGATAATGCGTTGACAGACCTGAAAGGCATGTAAGTGGTCCACGTGTCATGGTTCTGTTGGTAGAAGGTGTGAGAGTTATATGCATCCATACCTCTCGCCGACCTCCACGCCGGAGATTGTCCCGGCCCACATTCGTATTCCGACAACAAGATTGGTTTTTGTGTAATTGTGTAGTTGTATTATGGTTTGATTACATGTAATGGATTGTGATGCTACGTGTACCTTCTGTGTTAAGCCACTTAACTTTCTGACAAGTACAATGAATATTAGTCAAATCTAAGCTTTCATTTGGTCGTAATAATAAAACAATTGTTTTTTTTGCTTTTAATCCAGAAATAGTGATCTAGTGTTAAAAAAGCTCAAAGGAAAGAGATATAAACCCTTCTAACCTGAGTTCAATTTCTTTTAGGAATATTTTTATCTCTCTATTTGGCTAGTCAAAATGGTGTCACGGTTTAGACCTATTAAAAAAAAAATTGAAGAACATATTACATATACACTTTTTTATAACTTTTTCTTGGGTTTAATGTTGAATCTTTATAAACAGTACTAGTACTGTATAATTTCATTATATGAATGCATTTCGAAACGGACCTTCGCCACCAATAGATAATTTAAAACTCCCACTATAATTGAAAGGTGCTTATTATGTACTACTTAATTCCAAATTTACGAAAATGTAAATATGTTATTGACAAGAACAAGCATACGGATTTCATTCAAGACATAATATAAAGCATATAAATGCTAAGTTACACCGGATACTATCACCAAAGTGGGAACCTAAACCACTCAAAATACCATATTCCAACAACTCTCAACTAGCATTTTTGGTTTAACAAGTTAATTCTACATTAAAAAGTCAGTCGAACACGCTTATTCAATTTGTTATTTTTCGTGCACGCCATCTATATCCATGGCCATTTTATTACGCTCAAATCACCTTCAATTTAAATGCCCTGTTTTTCTGTTAAGAATATCATTTTCCTAGAAGATGATTTTTCAATGTTTAGAATTAATAATTCTGAGGAAGTAAGTAATATTTTATCACATGACAGTGATTCAGAAGTGTATAATGTGACTCTTTCCTAGTATTAATAAATACTTTTTCCGTTTTAAAATATAAGTTATTTTGGGTAAAAATGCGAATATTAAGAAACTACTTTTTTCTAAAAAATAATATTATTTTATATATTTAATAAAATTAATTTAACTAATGAAAAAAACGATTGCAAAATATTATTAGTTACACAATAGTCAATAAAGTTAAAAGTACCTAGGATTATTAAAACAATTTATATTTTGAAATGAAAAAAGTATGATATATTGTTTTGTTATTATTTTCAGTTTATAGTAAACCTGAAAATATAAAAGGAAACTGATTTTTAGTAAATATAGATTTTAGGAATAATTAAATTTCTAGAAATTATTATTTGGGAATTTCTCAAAATTTTCTCTTATTATTTTAGCTCATTTGTTCGAAGTTAGCTGTCACTATAGTTTTCCAAAATAACAATAAAAAGTTGAAAAAATCAATTACCCTTAAAGTAAAGGGTAAAATACAGAGTAAGCACCATGTGGCGGGACAGTTGGCTCATAAAATATCTGTAAAACCGGGTCTATATATAGCGAGACATATCAAGGAGCGTAAAGAGTCCAAAATCACCAAGAGAATTTATTTTATAATTTAGTTTTTAAGCATAAATATTATCTTAGATCGATTACAAAAGCTTGAAAAATGACTACAGCCACTTTCGTAGAAATTCTTCTGGCTATCCTCTTGCCTCCTCTCGGAGTCTTTCTCAAATTTGGTTGCAAGGTACAATATTATTTATATTTATCTTCAATTTTACTTCTATGATTTAAAAAAAAAAATCTTATAATTACTCGTATTTTACGATTTCATCAATTTATTTGGTTTTTTTACAGGTTGAGTTTTGGATTTGTTTGATTTTGACGCTGTTTGGTTATCTTCCCGGGATCCTTTACGCTCTTTATATCATCACCAAGTAGGCCTATCACCATGCATGGAGTGATTGTTC